GAAGGGTTCGAGAATTTGTTACAATGCTGTGATACCTTAATGGTAGTGTAATCGCAATAAGTCGGTCAATTGCCATTAATGTCAGAGCCATGCACTCTGTGTAATCACCAAGATGATAGAAGTATGTCCTTGAGATACACGAGTAGTATGACACAGTTTTAATCTCAGCCAGCAGCACTGAGATCATGGTTGTGCTGCAGGTAGACGAGTACAATATGTCAACAACAGCTAGATTACAGATTAATATGTACATTGGTTTATGTAAATGTCTGTCAGTCAAGATGATACACAGATTGATGCCGTTCCCAAGCAATATGAGCATGTAGGTTATTAAGACGAGGAATCCGAGGAGCTTTTGGTTCTGCAGGTGATCAAATCCAGTGATGATGAAGCTGTCTACATTATTCACAGTGTAGTTTGCCATTTTCCATCCAGTGATAAAAAAATAGACACAAGCATATTAAAATACACTATCAACAAGGGACAAGACAAAGTCAATTAAAGTCTTGATGTACTCATATATGCACAGGAAAAAAGCTCCCGTGAAGGAAAAGATGCAGACAGTGTCTGTTACAGCAAGGTGATGAAAACTGGAGTATAGTTTCAAAAGAAATACAAAAAGAGTTTCAGTCATGTTAAAGAGTAAATATGAATAACATTTTTCTTCAGGCGTTTTTCTTTAGATACTCAGTGAATATTAAAATTGCATGCAAGATATTCTGAGATGTTCTTCTCATCCAGTACAGACTGATGTCCTGCCTTTTATAGTTTTATGGTGTGACCGATCCGTCATGGTTTCTTAGCAGCCGTGATTAAACATGGGAATTTGTTCAAAACACAATAGTTCATAACAGTTCAAGGCTGATAATAAACAAGCCATATTGTTCAACATAAATCTGAGACAAGTTTTGTAATAAATATTTTTTTGTAATATTTATTTAGCAGTTTTTATATTTTTTCTATGTTTAGCATAGACCCTGATATAGTATCTACACAGCCTATTACATTATCTTAGCCTAGGTTGATTTCATTATTATTGAATGAGATTATTATGTTCAGTGCCATCACACTGATTAAATACAATGACCTCATTTCACATCATAACGCACATTTAATTCAGCATTATTTCTGTTGATGAATCAATATTTCCAAAATCATGCATGTAGCAATTAACTACAAGACTCGCTAATGGCAATATTATTTGTCACCACAGACGTCAAACCGTGTAGGTAAATACTTAAGGGGCCGATTTTTTTAATGTTTCAATGGAAGCAGAGTTAGGATGAAGAGTTAGGATGCAACGTTTGTAAACTTCTCTGTTTCAGGTCTCGTTTTAGTCTGGACGGGAGGTGTAAATGTAGCAAAAGGTCTCGCAGTAGTGTGGATGGGGCATCAGACGATGAAACAAACTAAGGACAACACCTGATCCTGCAGTTTGAGGGTTAGGTGTGGGGCCAACATCCACACCCTGTAAAAAAACACAATTCTGTTACAGAATATGAAAAAATGACAAATAACAACACAGAGCCTGCAGTGGACCTGAGCCAAACAGCACAGCCAACATGGGGGTTACGCGTGGGGCCTACGCAGGTAGAACAAAAATGGCTGAGAGATTAAAGGTTGATTCTGTCAGTTCTGTATGATCTTTCTGATGAGGGTTATGCTGCGTGAGGAACGTTGCTGAGGACGTTGACACGTCAGGTCGGCTAAAAAATGTGATATAGTGGTCAATAGTTCAATGTCTACCTCAATTTAATTGTATTAACTGCCCTCATAAACGTTAGAAAGTCATGGAAATAAAAAATGACATGACAACTTATTGTTATAAAATCATTATTTATTTTATTAAAAGTTAATAATTCAGGTTTGTTTATCAGTACCATAGCAACGCTCAACTTCCGCTGGAATTGTCGGATAGGAACCGTCCGTTGCTTTTCGCACAAGTTCAAATTTTTGAACGCATCCGGATGACCAACGGACACGATTTTCTTCGGACCGTTTCGGACCCGTTTCGGACCCATTCGCATGCGGTCTGCGAATCTCCATAGGAAATGAATGACTTCCGGTCGTTTCGCAGCCGCATCGGAGCTGATTTCAACTGCCCGTGTGAAGGCGGCGTTACGATCAGAAAACTTTGTTGGATCTGAGAAACGCACTGTTGACCCCAGTTCTTCTGACCCCAGTTCTTCTGAGAATTCTAACTGAATTCTCTGACTTACTTTCCCATTTTGTGTCACTGTATGATCGTCTCCTCATACTTGGTGACTTCAATATTCATGTTTGTTGTCCGGCTACACCTATGGTTCTCGAATTCTGTGATGTAATACTGTAGATCTATACCCAACATATAGATAAGAAGCTCTTAAATTCTCCTTTGTTCAGAACAAAGATGTGACTATTCAACGGCAATGTCAAATTTGTTCGGTTGTATTGGTCAGAATGCTGGCGTGTCTTTAAGAGCAACATGAAGAAGATTGACGTATTCTACAAGAATTGCCTCAGGAGAATTTGCCATATCTTCTGGCCAGTGAGGAACTCAAATACTGAGTAATATAAGAAGACCTACTCGTATAGTGTGGTGATGAAGATCAAGCGCCGTTGAATGAAATTGCTTGGGCATGTCCCTGTCACTGGGGCGGTACCTTTTCAAAAGGTACACTTTTGTACCTAAAGGGTGCATATTGGTACCTTCATGGTACATATTTGTACAATTATGGTACCAATATGCAGCCTTTAGGTACAAAAGTGTACCTTTTGAAAAGGTACCGCCCCAGTGACGGCTTTTGTACCTTTTTTTCTGACAGTGTATAGGCTGCACCCTTTAGCATCCTTTGTAGCGTTCCTGCCTTCAATGCTGGTTTGAATCCCGCTCGAAGTGGTGCGAGTAAAACCGGAGGGGTTACAGAAGTACATTGGTATAAAGACTGCACCAAATGATAAATAAATAAATATTATTTATCTGTAGAGATTTTTTATGGACTGTTCTATAAATCTAATCATTATCAATGTAATATTATTAGAATACTTTAAGTCCCATTTGAGTGAGATTGCTCAAGGGCAAAAGGGTGCCAAGGGTTTAATACACTAATGATCTAAGATAATTGAATAATACAGTAGATTGTGTGTCAATAATGTCTCTGTTGGGAAAACAATGAATTTACTGTTTATTAATATAGCCATGCATGCTCATACTCTTATAGCTTCTTTATTGTCTACAAGGTCCACTCACTCCAATGACGATAACTAACTCTAAAGGCCTCTATTTTGCTCAATTACTGGTTCATAATTTTGTTTAGGGGGTATATTTAGCATAATTTAAATTTGCATTGTTGCTGCGTGTGTTTTCACCCTCTGTCTCTGTTTTAGTTTTGGTTAGTCACCTCTGTTGTGATTAGTTTGTTGTCGGGAAGGTAACTCCACTTATACCATAACTGGCGAGTCCCGAGGCTTATGGGGCACTGAAAATCCTACTGTAACTATGCCAACTAACTTTATTCAGTCCAGTTGGTGGGAGAGAAACTGCCTGACTGTTCAGCCCCCATTTTTTTACATTTTTCCCCGGTGATCAGTTCGGCACAGATTTTGATCTCAATTGAGCCTAGTGACTAATGCTGCAGAATGCCTTTATTATTTTAACTTTTTGTATCGACTTTAAACAATTAATAATTGTAATTATATATTTGAATTAAATTGATTCAAACCAGAACCATATTACTGTATATTTTTACAGTTTAGAAAGACCAAATATATCAGAAAACAAAGAAATGCATTATGAACTTCTTAAATATATTATACAAATATTACATTCACAAAAAAAGTATATTGTACATTATATTTTGCAATATTGATCTAAATATTAAAAAGTGCGGGAGAGATAGCTATCGAGTGTGTCTGCGTGCGAGCGACAGCTCGCGAGAGATACAGAGTGTGTATGCGCGCGTGAGAGACCGAGTGTAAGCATTAGTAAATTACATTACTGAATTGGTACTCCATAGTTATATATAATTACTATATAAGAGGCATGAAAGTTCGATTAATGGACTCAGTAGGCCTAGGCCTACTACAAACGTCTTGTTTTGAACGATTGTTTTATAGAAATAATTCTATCACATAAACTTTCATATAGAGGATTAAATCGATTCAATTTATGCAGTAAGATTTCACAACTAATCACTGACACTGTACCACAACATTTTACATTTCTTAAGCACCGAATAACAATGACTCATTAATCGAACTTCCATGCATAGTTCTGCCTTGACATGTTCTCATTTAGTTGCATTCTGTTATGGAATATTTGTTTTTTATTGATTGTATATTTTGGGCGTTTTATTCACATCCATTATGCAGGTCCAATGCAAGTTTATATTTTGCTTCCTAAAATATATTTACACAATGGAAATGTAAAATAGTGCCCTGTTGAAGTTTTGCTACATTTTTTTTTATTGTTTTCTTTATTTTTCTTTATTCTTTAAGGAGATGCACTGAATTTTGGTGAATAAGAGGACCTATTTTATTTTTATGCACATAGTTGTTCATTAGCAGGAATGTAGAACAATATGGATGTGAAAGCAGTTATAATTAGCCTATGTGACAATAAAATTAGTTTTGGTTAAAATCAACAAATAATCGTGATAATTAATCGTGATCTCAATATTGATCAAAATAATCATGATTATCATTTTGGGCCAAATCGTGCAGCCCTATCTGGTGGCTAGTTCCAATAACTGGACTTTAGGCCTATAGTATCCAAATAGCAAGCTGGTTTTTCCATGTAGGTTGTAGTTCTAAAGATTCAGTTGTATTTTATAGCAAGTTACATTTAGTTAGCCGGCCAAAGTTGCCCAATATTGGGACATATCTACAATGTTTTTTTTTCCTTACACAAGGATCCACATAATCATCCATTTATAATGGAGCAGATAAGTGGTTTAGATCCCAGTGCACAAATGTTTTAATAGAATTAATAATTGATATGTTTGGGCTAAGAGACACCAGAAGAATTTTGTTTATTATGATTATTGTTATTATTAATGCTACACATACATAGGATTATTCATGCTTCACATACAAAGATGGGATATACAATGCATCTATAAACAGTTTTGTTTAAAAACTCTTTGTCAATTCATAGAAAGTCTTTCTGTTTAAAATTTAATTTTAAATTTCTGCCAATACTGTCATTTAAAAAATAATCAGAGCTCCAAATATTTTCCCTATTTTTCATTTACTTTATTTGAAAACAAACAATTCAACATCAGCATGTCTATGATTTGTCTTATCTAACACAAGCAAAAGCAACAGCATCACAAAACACATTATCAAAACAACCAATAGCAACATCATTACAATCACAATTAAGATGATAAAGCTTTTGATATTGACTTTAAATGATTTGGTACTATTTTGTTGTGCAGAAATATATGTGCTAATCGTTTCCTGATCTCCTTAGTCCTGGTGCAATAAACCATGGGATTTATCAAGGGAGGAACAAGAGAGGCTACAATCAAAATTGCGTTTCGCTCTGTTAAAGTAAGCACAACTCCTATTCGAGTTAGTAACGCTGAGACTAGCTTTGGTGCATAAAAACTGAGCAGAACAATGAGGTGACTCAAACAAGTGTTGATCATTTGCTTTCTGTTTGAGTTGTTGGAGAGTTTGGTCACATTATATGCCAACACAGCATAAGTGCACATTATAAAGGGAAATTGTCCACACATTGGCCACAGACTTAACATTGCAGGTAAGAAAAAATATGGTTCAGGATTCACACAAGCAGCTCTAATCATGGCAGCATATTCACAAAAGACATATCTGATAACAGGCTGACAGTATGGGACACTGTCTAACACTGATATCACAAAACCTAGTACAACAAAACCACTGATCCAGATCACAAAAATAAGCAGAAGGGTTCGAGAATTTGTTACAATGCTGTGATACCTTAATGGTAGACTAATCGCAATAAGTCGGTCAATTGCCATTAATGTCAGAGCCATGCACTCTGTGTAATCACCAAGATGATAGAAGTATGTCCTTGAGATACACGAGTAGTATGACACAGTTTTAATCTCAGCCAGCAGCACTGAGATCATGGTTGTGCTGCAGGTAGAGGAGTACATTATGTCAACAACGGCTAGATTACAGATTAATATGTACATTGGTTTATGTAAATGTCTGTCAGTCAAGATGATACACAGATTGATGCCGTTCCCAAGCAATATGAGCATGTAGGTTATTAAGACGAGGAATCCGAGGAGCTTTTGGTTCTGCAGGTGATCAAATCCAGTGATGATGAAGCTGTCTACATTATTCACAGTGTAGTTTGCCATTTTCCATCCACTGATAAAGACATAGACACAAGCACATTAAAATACACTATCAACAAGGGACAAGACAAAGTCAATTAAAGTCTTGATGTACTCGTATATGCACAGGAAAAAAGCTCCCGTGAAGGAAAAGATGCAGACAGTGTCTGTTACAGCAAGGTGATGAAAACTGGAAAAGTTGAAGTATAGTTTCAAAAGAAATACAAAAAGAGTTTCAGTCATGTTAAAGAGTAAATATGATTACTATTTTTCTTTTTTGCCGTTTTTCTTTATATACTCAAAAACAGTCAGTGAATAATAAAATTGCATGCAAGAGATTCTGAGATGTTCTTCTCATCTGGTACAGACTGATGTCCTGCCTTTTATAGTTTTATGGTGTGACAGATACGACAGAATCCACTGTGAGACACCAATGTGTCCCTGAACAAAACACTTGTCCTCTAGTTACTCCAGAGGCGTGCGACCTTTGACATATATAGCAATTGTAAGTTGCTTTGGATAAAACCGTCAGATAAATGTAAATGTTAATATATATATCACTTGGTGTTGGCTGCTGGGCACCAGGTGCAGCATGTTGGCATTTGTGACTAAATGTGGACTAAAATGATATTATCATAACAAAGAGGACTTAACATAAACAATTTTTTGACGGATAAAACATTTGGAGAGACGTTGTTACATTTTTTGATAGCCTACTACTGTATACTGTATAAGTGAACCTGTTGAATACAAATTAATTTGTTTGAACACCTGAAGTGGAAGAGCCTCTTCTCGATATTTTTAACTCGTCTTTATTCTTAAGTCATGCTCCAAAAATATTCAAGCTGGCAGAAACCGCAATTAGATCCAAATAACTTGGCAAACTACAGACCCATTTCAAATCATCCATTTATGTCTAAAATACTAGAAAAAGTTGTGTCCGCTCAATTGTGCTCATTTTGTGCAAGTAAAATGATATCTATCAAAAATTTCAGTCAGGATTCAGACCGCATCATAGCACAGAAACTGCGCTAGTTAAAATTACAAAGGACTTACTTTTAGCTTCTGACCAAGGCTGTGTCTCAATTCTAGTTCTACTCGATCTTAGCGCTGCGTTCGACACTATAGATCATAAAACACTCTTGGATCGACTACAAAACTGCACTGGTGTTCAGGGACAGGCATTAAGCTGGTTTAGATCGTAATTATCGGACCGTTATCATTTTGTCTGTTTTAACGCTGAAAAATCGAAGATAACGTCAGTAGACTATGGAGTACCTCAAGGATCAGTGTTAGGCCCTCTGCTATTCTCAATGTATGTGCTGCCACTTGGTAATATTATAAGAAAACATGGAATTAATTTCCACTGTTATGCTGATGACACTCAATATATTTCATCACGACCAGATGAAAACACTAACTCATGTACAGAATATAGTGATCTTTTCTTGCTATTTACCACCATAGGGACATACAACAGGACCGAACTCGTTTACTTTTTGTAGCCTACTGTTAGCGCAGCGTTACTCTGTGGATGCTGATGCTATTTAGGGCGTTGTCACACCTGAAAGTCCGCAACAAGGTCCGAAACAAAGTTCACGTTTTGATACATTTTATATTTTCAGAAAGTTTTGGTTTGGCTTCACACTGCAATTATGCATGTGCACTAGGCATGGGCGGTATCCAAATTTCCATACCGTCAAACCTCCTCCCTATTTTACCGCGGTATACGGTATTACCGCGTGACTAATTAAAAATTACGAGATAAGGCTCAGACGACATCACACATGATGACACGTTCAACCAGAGAGTGTCGGTTCTAATAATGCATCTAAAAGTATGACGATATTGTAAATGATACCGTTGCTATTTTTAGATCCCGCGGTATACGATATTACCGTAATACCGCCCAAGCCTAATGTGCACTAAAGAACTTTACGCGACACACTTGCGTCCTGTACCCACTTCTAAATCCCCGATGCGCATCATTTAGTTGCTAATCCAATCTCGTGAATAAAAAAACACCCAGTCATGGTCGTACCCCTAATAATAACTCTAATTTGTTGCTGCAATGATTCTCCCTTCACGACGATAACTGACCTTCTCATCTGATCTGATTCAGCACTCAAACACCTGCTCAATGTCAAAATTTTTGAGACCACACTGTAAAAAAATATTGTTGGTTTAACTTAAAAAATTAAGTAACCTAGTTGCCTTAAAATTTTAAGTTGATTGAAATGGAAAAAGTGAGTTAACTCAATGAAGAAGATTGATTTAATCATCAGAAACTCAAAATAATAAGTTATCTGAACTAAATAAATTACTTAAGTTGATTTGACAAAAGAAAAAATGTTGTGATAATTAATCTTGAAAATATTTTTTACAGTGAAAGCATGCAGTGGTTTTGTTCACAGAAGCGCGAGCCGAACGCTAATCCCAACACAACGCTTCACTTCAGTTAGCAGCTAACGACTATACAGTGCGAGATAAGATGCAAGTAGCTAAAATATACGGTTGTTTTTCGATATACGTTTTAAATGACCGACAGAAATAATCAGTTTGATCAAAGACAGTAGAAATTATAAGATCAATTTAACAACACAAACACCCTATTAAATACATTGCCATTATTATTGTATAAATATATTTGTATAACGTTTTTCCGAATGTGTTCGACTTTTCACTGTTTGTATCACTCCACTTGTCTGTGTTTGCGCAACTTGCATCATTAAGCTTACATCATTAGGCAACAAGTGACTGTCTTTATGAGTGAGCAATTGAACCTGTAATTAAATTAAGTCCAAAAACATTGATTAATTTAGGAAAGAAAAAGTAGCTGAAACTGGAACTGATTCTCATTATTAAGAATCTGATTTAATCTCAAATTCATGCTTTTAAATCTACTGTTGTCAGTTTTTTTTTTTTTGGCCATCAAAGCACCTTGAAATGCTCATGTCGAGATCAGGAAAATCTAAATTTTGCAATTCATAGGAAGACTTTTTTATTTAAAATGTAATTTTAAATTCCTGCCAATACTGTCTTTTAAAAAATAACCAGAGCTCCAAATATTTTCCCTATTTTTCATTTACTTTATTTGAAAACAAACAATTCAACATCAGCATGTCTATGATTTAAAGCAACAGCATCACAAAACACATTATCAAAACAACCAATAGCAACATCATTACAATCAAAATTAACTTGATAAAGCTTTTGATATTGACTTTAAATGATTTGGTTCTATTTTTTTGTGCAAAAATATATGTGCTAATCGTTTCCTGATCTCCTTAGTCCGGGTGCAATAAACTGTGGGATTTATCAAGGGAGGAACAAGAGAGGCTACAATCAAAATTGCGTTTCGCTCTGTTAAATTTAGCACAACTCCTATTCGAGTTAGTAACGCTGAGACTAGCTTTGGTGCATAAAAACTGAGCAGAACAATGAGGTGACTCAAACAAGTGTTGATCATTTGCTTTCTGCTTGAGTTGTTGGAGAGTTTGGTCACATTATATGCCAACACAGCATAAGTGCACATTATAAAGGGAAATTGTCCACACATTGGCCACAGACTTAACATTGCAGGTAAGAAAAAATATGGTTCAGGATTCACACAAGCAGCTCTAATCATGGCAGCATATTCACAAAAGACATATCTGATAACAGGCTGACAGTATGGGACACTGTCTAACACTGATATCACAAAACCTAGTACAGCAAAACCACTGATCCAGATCACAAAAATAAGCAGAAGGGTTCGAGAATTTGTTACAATGCTGTGATACCTTAATGGTAGACTAATCGCAATAAGTCGGTCAATTGCCATTAATGTCAGAGCCATGCACTCTGTGTAATCACCAAGATGATAGAAGTATGTTCTTGAGATACACGAGTAGTATGACACAGTGTTAATCTCAGCCAGCAGCACTGAGATCATGGTTGTGCTGCAGGTAGAGGAGTACATTATGTCAACAACGGCTAGATTACAGATTAATATGTACATTGGTTTATGTAAATGTCTGTCAGTCAAGATGATACACAGATTGATGCCGTTCCCAAGCAATATGAGCATGTAGGTTATTAAGACGAGGAATCCGAGGAGCTTTTGGTTCTGCAGGTGATCAAATCCAGTGATGATGAAGCTGTCTACATTATTCACAGTGTAGTTTGCCATTTTCCATCCACTGATAAAGACATAGACACAAGCACATTAAAATACACTATCAACAAGGGACAAGACAAAGTCAATTAAAGTCTTGATGTACTCGTATATGCACAGGAAAAAAGCTCCCGTGAAGGAAAAGATGCAGACAGTGTCTGTTACAGCAAGGTGATGAAAACTGGAAAAGTTGAAGTATAGTTTCAAAAGAAATACAAAAAGAGTTTCAGTCATGTTAAAGAGTAAATATGATTACTATTTTTCTTTTTTGCCGTTTTTCTTTATATACTCAAAAACAGTCAGTGAATAATAAAATTGCATGCAAGAGATTCTGAGATGTTCTTCTCATCTGGTACAGACTGATGTCCTGCCTTTTATAGTTTTATGGTGTGACAGATACGACAGAATCCACTGTGAGACACCAATGTGTCCCTGAACAAAACACTTGTCCTCTAGTTACTCCAGAGGCGTGCGACCTTTGACATATATAGCAATTGTAAGTTGCTTTGGATAAAACCGTCAGATAAATGTAAATGTTAATATATATATCACTTGGTGTTGGCTGCTGGGCACCAGGTGCAGCATGTTGGCATTTGTGACTAAATGTGGACTAAAATGATATTATCATAACAAAGAGGACTTAACATAAACAATTTTTTGACGGATAAAACATTTGGAGAGACGTTGTTACATTTTTTGATAGCCTACTACTGTATACTGTATAAGTGAACCTGTTGAATACAAAATTAATTTGTTTGAACACCTGAAGTGGAAGAGCCTCTTCTCGATATTTTTAACTCGTCTTTATTCTTAAGTCATGCTCCAAAAATATTCAAGCTGGCAGTAATAAAACCTCTCATTAAGAAACCGCAATTAGATCCAAATAACTTGGCAAACTACAGACCCATTTCAAATCATCCATTTATGTCTAAAATACTAGAAAAAGTTGTGTCCGCTCAATTGTGCTCATTTTGTGCAAGTAAAATGATATCTATCAAAAATTTCAGTCAGGATTCAGACCGCATCATAGCACAGAAACTGCGCTAGTTAAAATTACAAAGGACTTACTTTTAGCTTCTGACCAAGGCTGTGTCTCAATTCTAGTTCTACTCGATCTTAGCGCTGCGTTCGACACTATAGATCATAAAACACTCTTGGATCGACTACAAAACTGCACTGGTGTTCAGGGACAGGCATTAAGCTGGTTTAGATCGTAATTATCGGACCGTTATCATTTTGTCTGTTTTAACGCTGAAAAATCGAAGATAACGTCAGTAGACTATGGAGTACCTCAAGGATCAGTGTTAGGCCCTCTGCTATTCTCAATGTATGTGCTGCCACTTGGTAATATTATAAGAAAACATGGAATTAATTTCCACTGTTATGCTGATGACACTCAATATATTTCATCACGACCAGATGAAAACACTAACTCATGTACAGTATAGTGATCTTTTCTTGCTATTTACCACCATAGGGACATACAACAGGACCGAACTCGTTTACTTTTTGTAGCCTACTGTTAGCGCAGCGTTACTCTGTGGATGCTGATGCTATTTAGGGCGTTGTCACACCTGAAAGTCCGCAACAAGGTCCGAAACAAAGTTCACGTTTTGATACATTTTATATTTTCAGAAAGTTTTGGTTTGGCTTCACACTGCAATTATGCATGTGCACTAGGCATGGGCGGTATCCAAATTTCCATACCGTCAAACCTCCTCCCTATTTTACCGCGGTATACGGTATTACCGCGTGACTAATTAAAAATTACGAGATAAGGCTCAGACGACATCACACATGATGACACGTTCAACCAGAGAGTGTCGGTTCTAATAATGCATCTAAAAGTATGACGATATTGTAAATGATACCGTTGCTATTTTTAGATCCCGCGGTATACGATATTACCGTAATACCGCCCAAGCCTAATGTGCACTAAAGAACTTTACGCGACACACTTGCGTCCTGTACCCACTTCTAAATCCCCGATGCGCATCATTTAGTTGCTAATCCAATCTCGTGAATAAAAAAACACCCAGTCATGGTCGTACCCCTAATAATAACTCTAATTTGTTGCTGCAATGATTCTCCCTTCACGACGATAACTGACCTTCTCATCTGATCTGATTCAGCACTCAAACACCTGCTCAATGTCAAAATTTTTGAGACCACACTGTAAAAAAATATTGTTGGTTTAACTTAAAAAATTAAGTAACCTAGTTGCCTTAAAATTTTAAGTTGATTGAAATGGAAAAAGTGAGTTAACTCAATGAAGAAGATTGATTTAATCATCAGAAACTCAAAATAATAAGTTATCTGAACTAAATAAATTACTTAAGTTGATTTGACAAAAGAAAAAATGTTGTGATAATTAATCTTGAAAATATTTTTTACAGTGAAAGCATGCAGTGGTTTTGTTCACAGAAGCGCGAGCCGAACGCTAATCCCAACACAACGCTTCACTTCAGTTAGCAGCTAACGACTATACAGTGCGAGATAAGATGCAAGTAGCTAAAATATACGGTTGTTTTTCGATATACGTTTTAAATGACCGACAGAAATAATCAGTTTGATCAAAGACAGTAGAAATTATAAGATCAATTTAACAACACAAACACCCTATTAAATACATTGCCATTATTATTGTATAAATATATTTGTATAACGTTTTTCCGAATGTGTTCGACTTTTCACTGTTTGTATCACTCCACTTGTCTGTGTTTGCGCAACTTGCATCATTAAGCTTACATCATTAGGCAACAAGTGACTGTCTTTATGAGTGAGCAATTGAACCTGTAATTAAATTAAGTCCAAAAACATTGATTAATTTAGGAAAGAAAAAGTAGCTGAAACTGGAACTGATTCTCATTATTAAGAATCTGATTTAATCTCAAATTCATGCTTTTAAATCTACTGTTGTCAGTTTTTTTTTTTTTGGCCATCAAAGCACCTTGAAATGCTCATGTCGAGATCAGGAAAATCTAAATTTTGCAATTCATAGGAAGACTTTTTTATTTAAAATGTAATTTTAAATTCCTGCCAATACTGTCTTTTAAAAAATAACCAGAGCTCCAAATATTTTCCCTATTTTTCATTTACTTTATTTGAAAACAAACAATTCAACATCAGCATGTCTATGATTTAAAGCAACAGCATCACAAAACACATTATCAAAACAACCAATAGCAACATCATTACAATCAAAATTAACTTGATAAAGCTTTTGATATTGACTTTAAATGATTTGGTTCTATTTTTTTGTGCAAAAATATATGTGCTAATCGTTTCCTGATCTCCTTAGTCCGGGTGCAATAAACTGTGGGATTTATCAAGGGAGGAACAAGAGAGGCTACAATCAAAATTGCGTTTCGCTCTGTTAAATTTAGCACAACTCCTATTCGAGTTAGTAAGACTGAGACTAGCTTTGGTGCATAAAAACTGAGCAGAACAATGAGGTGACTCAAACAAGTGTTGATCATTTGCTTTCTGCTTGAGTTGTTGGAGAGTTTGGTCACATTATATGCCAACACAGCATAAGTGCACAATATAAAGGGAAATTGGCCGCACAATGGCCACAGACTTAACATTGAAGGTAAGAAAAAATATGGTTCAGGATTGACACAAGCAGCTCTAATCATGGCAGCATATTCACAGAAGACATATCTGATAACAGGCTGACAGTATGGGAGATTGTCTGCTGTAGAAGTCAAAACACCCATTAGAGTGATAGTAACGAGCCAAGTCAGAAAAATGAGCAGAAACGTTCGTGTGTTTGTCACAATACTGTGATACCTTAAAGGAAGTCTAATGGCAAGAAGTCGGTCAATTGCCATTAATGTCAGAGCCATGCATACTGTGAAATCACCAAGATTATATAAGAACATCCTTGAGATACACGAGTAGTATGACACAGTTTTAATCTCAGCCAGCAGCACTGAGATCATGGTTGTGCTGCAGGTAGACGAGTACATTATGTCAACAACAGCTAGATTACAGATTAATATGTACATTGGTTTATGTAAATGTCTGTCAGTCAAGATGATACACAGATTGATGCCGTTCCCAAGCAATATGAGCATGTAGGTTATTAAGATGAGGAATCCGAGGAGCTTTTGGTTCTGCAGGTGATCAAATCCAGTGATGATGAAGCTGTCTACATTATTCACAGTGTAGTTTGCATTCGCCATTTTAAGTCACCCAATTCCTAACATACAGACACAAATATTTTAAAATACAGTCTGTATAGATGAAAAAATTAAATCAATTTGATCCTCAATGTACTCATAAATGCACATAAAAAAAGCTCCTGTGAAGGAAAATGGCAGAAAGATGCGGACAGCATCTGTATCTGCAAGATGATGAAAACTCTGAATGTTGAAGTATAGTTTTAACAAAAATATAAAAAGAGTTTCATGCATTCTTGAAAACAAAAAAAGAAGATATTATGTAAAATGTTTTCTTGCCCTTTACTTCTTTAGGTCCTTAATTAAAAATAAAAATAATCCATATGATAAACCATCTGAGATGTTCCAATCATCCAGATAAATATATGACAGAAATGCTGCCTTTTATATTATATTGTGAGACAGATACGTCATGGTTTCCTAGCACCCGTGATCGACCTAGTAATCAAGATTTACCACACACATTTAAGGAACATTCTTCAACAATATCATAATGCATTCACCTATGATTTTAAAGTGCACATTTATTCAGAAATTGTAAATATTGTAATAAGACATGATATTGGGAGACCCTTTATTTTAAGGTGAACCATTTTCTTAGGAAAGTGATATTTTTCATAAATGTCAGGGGTATGTTGTAATTTTATAGAATTTATTAATTATGATATCTATATATTTTTGTTGAGGTAAATCATCACGTTTATGTTATAGTTTTATAGAATTTATTAGTTAATTTCGTGGCCATAACACACTGTAAAAATGAATATGCTTTATCTAATCAATAAAATTGTGGCAACAGATTACAAGCAATATTATTTATTAAATTGAACAAATTAGAATTGAGTAATAATTAATCCAATTAACATTCTAATTAATTCTAATTTGTACAATTTAATTAATAATATTGCTTGTAATATGTTGCCACAATTTTATTGATTAGATAAAGCATATTATTTTTTTCAGTGCAATGGCTTGATTTCAAACATGAACCATTTTAATTGAGCTAATTAGAAAAGCATATATTTGGGAATTTAATGGCAGGTTCCATGTGAAAGCCTACCCCATATAGTGTGACAGTCATTTATAGTTGATGCGTTATAATGGAGGCACTCAAACATTTTTAGTTACAGAAACATGGATAATGTTAACATTAATTTAGTTAGTAACTAAAAGTAAATCTGTGGGGTACTAATAGGAAATGAATGTTTTTATTTATTTATTTGACCTATATTTAAACAGGAAAATCTCTCTGAGATTAAAAATCTCTTTCACAGGAGAGTCCTGGCCAAGAATGGACAGCAGTTACAGTCACAACTTACAGATTGAAACAACAAATAGACAATTAAAACACTTAAAAACAATTGCAAATCAATGAGTCGAGTGATCGAATAATAGATTTGAAATGAATTCCAAAGGCAACAGTGTTTGTAATTTCAATTTCGTTTGAAGTAAATTCCATTCAAATGGAGCTGCGTACATAATTACATTTAACATAAAACATAAAATTACATTTCAAATGTAATCCATTTTTTAGTGCATCCATTTATAATGTATCAACATTAAATTATATAGGGTACTTTGCAGCTTGAATTAAGAATTAACTTTTTTATTCTGTTAAATTTCATGTGACCTCTGCCCCCTCTGTGTTTGTTTCTGTGCACTGCAACAACCACTTGTTTTTTTCACTGTTGCTTCACACTAATGAGCTTCGAGACACTAGAATGAAATCTCTTAGGTTCCATATGTACCTCTCCACAGATTTACCTGAGCAAACACGGTGCCATTAGTGGGATAATTAACACGTTTCTCGACCAGTTAGATGATGTAACACCTGTTGATTAGTACACATCAACAACACATTTGAGGGCAGAATTTGCAGTAGGTAAAAAAGTCATGAACTTATTTTGATGCATGAACGAAATTTAAATGACCTCAACACAAACAAAATATGAAGAGTTCAGATGCAAAAGCCTCTAAATGCCATTTGAAATTTTCTTCTTTAATGATGATTTTTATCAAACTTGTATATTTAAGTTCAGTAATTTCACTTAAATAACAATTAATGGGTAATTATCATTGCCATTTAAGTGAAATTACTGAACTTAAATATACAAGCTTGATAAAAATGATCATTCTAGAAAATTTCAAATGGCACTTAGAGGCTTTTGCATCTGAACTCTTCATATTAAGAATAAACCAGCTGACAAATATACACAATTTGACTTTTGGCTGCATAATTTATGACGTATAGCCACAAAACAGAATATAATTTACTATACTTTACTAAAAATGTACTATTTAAAATTTTTTTTACAATGAGTTCTTCACTTTGTTACAAACAACATGTACTGTAGCTGAAACCTCCATACTTTTTTAAGGGGCAAAGGGCACCCTTCACAAGTTCACTTTTATTTGCGATAAATGATTAGAGTGAAAGGCGAAAGCGGACTCTACACTTTAAAAAATGCTGGGTTGTTTTAACCCAACTTTGGGTCAAATATGGACTAACCCAGCCGTTGGGTTAAATTTTTACATTACATTTTTAACCCAACATTTCGGGTTTGTCCATATTTGACCCAAAATTGGGTTAAAACAACCCAGCATTTTTTTTAGAGTGTAGTAATTAAAAACCTGAAAATACGAGCATTGCCTTTTTGTCTCAATATTAAGAAGCAGATAAATCCTCTCCTCTCTATGGACCAGTAGCTGTATGGGGCGTAGATGATTATGCTATATCAAAGCCATGATTGGTCAGCTGACAAGTCCGAAGAGGCCTGGCATTTATATCACAATCAGTGGCATGTATGTATCAGTATTTAACAGCTCAGAGTCTTTTGACCGTATATCCAGGGCCCTAGCTTCACCTTTCTGTGGATATATCATGCCTGAGTAGCACTGTAGCTTTCACTTTAAAATCTTGCATATTTTATAACAAATGCGAAATGAATTTAACAATGTAAGATTCAGATTTTAAATATTCATGCATGCTTTTAGAACGTAGAATGTCTAATATGCTTTTTGGACGGGATCCAATTAAAAATATTAATTATTATGTAGAATTTTTTTTTAAATATATTATAATTACATCAATTTTAACCTAATTTGTGCTTCTCTACCTAGACAGCAGGAGGCAGGATCAGTGAATGAAATCAACATGAATCAAGATTTCACTGAAAATGAAAATATTTCCATTCCGTCTTATTTCTATATCAGTGGTTTTTCTGGCATACTTTACAAGAGATACTACTATATATTTCTGTTTTTAGTCTACATCATTACTGTGCTTGGAAACTCCTGCCTCATGTTTGTTATCATTACAGACCGAAGTCTTCACACTCCTAAATATATTGCTGTCTTTAATTTATCACTGGCAGACGTTTGTGAAAGTACCGCTGTAATCCCTCAGCAACTGGACACATTTTTGTTTGGGAATCAGTTGATTCCTTATGGATTGTGTTTGTGCAATATGTTCTCTGTTTCTTTATTTTATGCAATGCAGTCACTAACTCTAACTATTTTGTCTTTTGACAGATTCGTAGCCATTTGTTTACCACTGAGGTATCATATGATTGTGACTCATAGATCAATGCTTGTTATAATTGGTGCTTCATGGACACTTGTACTGATGCTAGCAATCATTGGAGCAATGTTCATGAGCAGACTTTCTTTCTGCAAACTTATTGTCACCGTTAACAGTTTCTACTGTGATCATGGGCCTATATATCGCTCTGCCTGTAACAATAATTTACCAAGTACTGTGATTGCCAAATTGTTTCCGGCATTAATAATTGGGTTCCCAGTGTTTTTTATCATCTCTTCATATATATGCATAGCTGAGACGTTGTTTCGAATCACAACCCCACAAGACCGTCAAAGAGCTACTAAGACATGTACTGCTCATTTAATATTAGTAGCTATATTCTATGTACCTATCACGTTTACATATGCATTTTGGTTCTTTATAGACACTAACACAAGGATCATTAATCTCTCTCTGACCTCTGTGCTTCCTCCAATGCTTAACCCTATAATCTACACATTCATGACAGAGGAGTTCATGGTGTCTGTGAAAAGACTTCTTAAAAGAAGATTAATTTTCCCATCACGGAAATAAACCTATTTTTTTTCACAGTTTAATAATATTAATAGTTGCGGGTTTTCATTGTTATTGTTCCAATGTAGATTTCTGCATGATGTTTACAATAATTGTTAAAAATGTGTTTTGTTTTTTTTTAGAATGCATTTCAACAATTCATTATCATGTATAACAATGTCAGCTTCATCTGCACATAGCTTTGTCCACACCATTTGTATCGATCGGTACTCCAATAATACTAATCATCGCTGTGTTTCTGCTTAAAATCTGCCACGTCATGATGGAATATTTTCCTGACGCTCTTGATTTAATGGAATTAAAGAACTTTAAATGGAAATTCTGATTAATTGAAATCCTGATCACCTCAACGATGTAAATATATGACAATTAATGTCTTTTAAATTGTCACACAGCAGGTGAATAGACTTTGCCCTCTGACTTTCCTCTTGATCCTTTTTCCCTCTCTGCCCTTCCATTCGTTTGCTGTTTGTCATTAACTCTCTTATGTAATAAAAATTACAAAAAATATAAAGTAACTTAAAAGTGTAAATATATTATCTTAATAGTATGCAATAGTGTGATACATTTTCAAACAGGCAATATAAATGGCTACATCTTGGAGACCAAGAGGATGGGAATCAGTAAAGAGATGGGCTCTGTCCCAAATGGAATCCTAAACCCTCACGGTCATTTGTGGCAAATTGGCTCGCCTTAGTGTGGGTTTGGCAAAAGTGCACATCAAGGGCACATATCGACTGCAAAGGCACTCGCGAGCAGTCTTCTGACACCTAAAATGACCAATGGGACACCCTATGGTCTTGTTGTCTTAAAGTACATGCGCACTCATTGGCCACAAGTGCACATGAAGTATGCCATTTGGGACTGGTTCATATTGGCCACATTTACACTGCAGGACTTGATGAACAATTCCGATTTGTTGACTATATCCTGATTTTTTTGATGACCAGCTTACATCTTCTTTTAAAAGTTACCCATATCCTACATAACTCTGCACAGTGATCTGAACATATCAGATTTATTTCCATATATAAATGAGGCCTGAAACCAATCTGTATAAAAATATTCTAGTATGCTAGTATGCTATTTCAAATTCAGCTAGAAACTTGCACAACTCTTACCCCTCAATATAGTAGCCTACACATTATATTCTAACCAAGAAATATTTGTTCGCATTAGGGCTGCAACTAACGATTATTTTGATAATCGATTAATTGGACGATTATTTCTTCGATTAATCGATTAATCGGATAAAAAAATTATATTCCATTTTTTTGTTTATTATAACAAAATAAAACCCTAAAAACCACACTCTTTTGTGTGTTAAACAATCTACTTAATACAGACAACTTCATTATAAAGAAAAACAACAAATAAAAAAAATATATATGACCATAACCTATGACAAAAATGCTATTGTAAACTAGATTAGTGGATAACTCAGCAAAACTTAGCCTAGAAATATCACAAGTGCACAATAATTTTATAAAATCTGAACATTTAAAGAAAAAAACATTCCTTAGTGGGGAACAAAGAAGAGACAATAAGTGTAGCACTAACTCTGGTAAAACGTACACATTGCTCTTTGTATTGTTGTTATACATTCATGAAAAACATCGTAAAAATCAGATTCACAGCTGTTTTAAATGTAAAGCACAGCTGTTTAGTGAGGAAGCAAAATATAATAGATAGGACAGAACAAGAAAGGCTATTAATAAGCTTTCATTGCGCAAAAGTATTATGACATGATCATGAAAGAGCTGCACAAAGTGCTTATGCGCATCGCGAGCGCTGAATGATGAAGCAACACGGAGTCACAGGGCGGCGCGCAGCTCTTCAGTGTCCGCCGCATTAAAGTTAAAAGCACCAAGGAAAGAGAAAGACATACTGACTGTGTATTATACAGTATCTATGCAATAGTTTATTAAGCCTTTTCTTTTAACAGTTTTAAATTTCAGTTAGGCTACTGTGCACGTGAAGAACAATTATACTGTATAAGTTTATACTGAACAATTATACCAATATACTGTTTATATTGTTTATACTGAACAATTATACCAATTATACTGACACTCAGTAGAAAGTGATTAAGTTACAGCAATAAAAGTCTAGCAAGATAGAAAAACCATCATAGACCTTTATCTACGGATCAATTATAATAATAACATTGAATCATCTTGGAAAGAGATCATCATGTTAACTGTTGTAACGCGACGCGCTGTTTGAACACCGAATAGAGAATGACTGACAGCCGCAGTGGAGGGAAAAGCTTAGGTTAACTTGAATTTAATGACTTAAATATACATTTCTATCTCACATTATACTATAGTATGGCTTCATAAAGTATACATGATCAACGTAGGTCACCTATTTTGGTTTCAAAACGGCGAATTTACCGAAAGGTGAATGATTTTCGTGTATGCTGCATATTGATAGCGGTTTCCTGATGCCCGCAAATTAGTTCAAACTCACGGAATCAAGAGTGCGCATGCGAGACAGAAGATAATGTGCTCCAAACCGTCCGTGTTGCGCGCGCGAGACAGGGTAGAGCGGCGAGGGAGAGAGACTGCATGTGCGCCTCATGAAGCGCATGTAAGAAGCGCATGTTCCATGTAAACAATCCCCGTGACGTAATCAGACCAACTAATCGATAACGACATTCGTTGACAACGATTTTCATAATCGATTATAATCGATTTTATCGATTAGTTGTTGCAGCCCTAGTTCGCATTTTTTATTTATTTTTTTTATTACATGAAATAGCTTCAATCATACAAATCCAAAAATATTTTTCGGGGGCGTACTTAGGGAAAATGCTAAACCACAATGGAAAATGGTCAAAAAAGTAGTTTTTCTGTAAAAATATGGTATTTTTCCATAGTGGTACTGTAAGAGCACTCCACCACGGATAATACCACACATCCACAGACTCTATTCCCCATAATCCTTAGTTTTGACAATCATCCAATATCACATTCACCTGTGTCTCCTTATCCTAATAGCCTGGTTTTGCCATTTATTCCCTGCAAAGTCTTGTTTAGTGTTTGTAGTGCAATTCTGGGCATTCTGTCTGTTAGTCCCGTGTTCTTGATCTCTGGTTGTCCTTGGATTTTCATTTTTGCCTGTGTCCCTGTAAGTACTGCATTTTCTTTGTTCGGGCTGCGAACTTTGTTCGGGCTGCGAACCTTATCTGTGTTTCGACCTTTGCCTGGCCTTTGTGTATGTCTGTGGATTAACCCACTGGGTTTGGATCCTCAACCTTGTGTCTCAGAGCAGTTACATTTCCGTGATTTTTTTTATTTTTTATTTTTTAATCAAATTTTAGTTTCCTACATTGCAAAACTTCAGTCTTTTGAGCTTTGAAGGGCTGGAAAAAGTTATGTATTGACACCACTGTTCTCTTCTAGTTTTTCCTCTTTCCTTCAGCAATTTTGTAGGTGCTTGTAACTTCTATACTTTTAGGTGAAGGCTTCCCTTCATAATTACATGCGACATCTCTGTGGATTAGTCACTGTTTCTGATGTAACTAATCATGCCAGTTCTCTGCTATGATTGGTCAACTGATGAGACCAGAGAGGCCTGCCGTTTGTATCTGAGGGTTATATAGTTCAATATGTTTGAGGTCAGGGGAAGTCTCTTTACAGTATACTGTATGTGTGCCTGTTAGATTTACTGTATTGTGCTGCTCTTCCCCTTTCTGTGAGTATGACATAGCTACTATTATACACAAAATTGTTTAAAGTTTAAAATTTTAAAGATCCATGTTAAACTATAACTGGTTGCTTGAAATATCTTAAATGCTTATATTTTTGGTCTTGTTTTGTAGGGATCAAATTAAGAGTCTTAAAAAAATAATGTATTATAATTGCTTAAGGTCAAATTGGAGTAAAAATATCTATCTTAGATTCCAGTGTTGTATATTTGTTAGTATAATGAAATAATTTCTTACAACCCTGAATAATGTACTTTTTTTTGTCCAGACATGATACAGGATCAGTGAGTGAACTGACCATGAATGAAGATTTTGCTGAAAACAGGAATATTTCTATTCCATCTTATTTCTATATCAGAGGTTTTTCTGGGATACCTCACATAAGATACTATTACATATTCCTGTTTTTAGTCTACATCATTACTGTGCTTGGAAACTCCTGCCTCATGTTTGTTATCATTACAGACCGAAGTCTTCACACTCCTAAATATATCGGTGTCTTTAATTTATCACTGACAGACATTTTTGAGAGTACAGCTGTAATCCCTCAGATACTGAGCACGTTTTTGTTTGGGAATCAGTTGATCTCGTATGGATTGTGTTTGTGCAATATGTTCACCGTCTTTGTATCTCTGACAACACAGTCACTAAATCTTGCTGTTCTGTCTTTTGACAGATTCGTAGCCATTTGTTTACCACTGAGGTATCATACGATTGTGACTCATAGATCAATGCTTATTATAAGTGGGGTCACATGGTTAGTGGCAGTGCTTATGATGGCTGCAGCTACAATTTTCATCAGTAGACTTTCTTTCTGCAGAGTTATTGTCATCATAAACAGTTTCTACTGTGATCATGGGCCAATATATCGCTCTGCCTGTAGCAATAAATTCCCAAGTTCTGTGATAGGTGATATGTACCCGATAATGATTCTCGGGTTTCCAGCATTTTTTATCATCTTTTCATATACATGTATAGCTGTACAATTGTTTCGAATTACAACCCCACAAGACCGTCAAAGAGCCACAAAGACATGTACTGCGCATTTAATATTAGTAGCTATATTCTATGTACCTATCGCATTTACATATGCATTTTGGTTCTTTATAGACACTAACACAAGGATCATTAATCTCTCTCTGACTTCTGCACTTCCTCCATTGCTTAACCCTATAATCTACACAATGAAGACGGAGGAGTTCATGATGTCTGTGAAGAGGCTTCTTAAACGGAGAATCATATTTCCAAAATAAACCTCTTTTTCTACATTGTAATCACATTATTAGATGCTTTTGTGGTCTTTATTTATTTATTTTCTGTGGATGTTTAGAATAATTTATGCTTCTATAATATCACAGGTTATTAAAAGTCAGACAACAGGTGTCATGACATTATAAACCTACAACCAATTTTGAAACCACCAACAATCTATTGAAGGGTTTGGTGATACCTGTTGATAAATTCCATATCTGACATGGCGACACACGAAACACAAATAAAAGAAGATAGCTGATTGTTTAAACAGCTTGTATGCCAGGCCTATTCATTTAGGTGAAATTGCCCCAAACTATTACTCAATCGGTCTTATAGAGGATTATTTTCTGGAGGATGATGGTGATGACTAGAGCTGTGAATATAATCGTTTTTCTGATGCATGCTAACATAAACAATTCTGCAATGTACACAAAAACAAAAGAATAGACCTATCATACATATTAATATACAGGATTGTTTTGTAGGCTAAATGAAGAAAGTTCATTATTAATAAAAAGTTGTGTATGTCCTTGAAAAGCAAAGCACTTGCATATGGTGTTTCGGTTTGTAAGAAAGGAACATTCATGAATGAGAATGGCATTTCTTTTCCTGTGTAGTTCCAGATTTACTCCAAATGTTACAAAATATCCCAGAAAAAGATTAAAGATTTTCTGTTGATCTTTTATATATGCATTAATTTATATATTAATGACATTTTCTACTGATATTTCATAATACCACTAACAGTATACAAATCATTACAGTGAACTGACTTGGTAAATCAGGCTGTTATGTCAACCCGCATACTTTTCAATGTTTCACGCTTGGACATGCACATAATAAATGTATACTAAATCTAATAAATAAAACTTGTTTTACATAATTTTCAAAATGTTCCCATACATCTATCACATATCACATGCCTTGCCTTGCCTTGCCTTGCCTAAAATGTGTTGCGGTTTTAAATATAAGCTTGTTTTTACATTTGAATTTCTCAAAGCACATGATTTTCTCAGGTGATAATTAAGCATATCTTTGACATGGACTTACTCAGTCAATATTAAAGGTTATATTTTCACAGAAGGCTCTTTACATTATGGATGATTTTATATAGAAAATAGTGACTCAACAACAACAAAACTTTTGCTGGGTTTTCACATCAGGGTCACAAATACTTTTATATTTTCATTAAATGTTTTACAGAAAAACACTGTTGTTTTACAGACTTTTCCTGCAATATTGTGATCAAACACATTCACTGTAGTATGTAAATATAATGTATTTAACCATTAGCTTTCAATAAAACGTGCATTAACTAAAATAACCATGATATACATCGCATTGGCTACCACGCAGTCAGTGCCTTTACACAAAGCAACATGAAGCACACCGTCAATGTTTTTTAGCCCATCCTCGACTAAAGAACAAGCTCTACTTTAATGTGGTAACCTCAAAAAACCCATTAAATCCCCAAATAACAGAACATCAAACATGAACAGATATCTCTAGATCTCAGCAGAGGATGATTTCTCCAAAAACAGCATTACCAGCTTCACTTATTACAAACCAGTTTGACTTGTACAAAAGTTCTTATTGAGAATTAACAGAGGTTTATGTTGATGAAGTCACCGTTATGGTGATTAGTGTTTTAGAAAAAACTGGATGATGTTGGCCACTTGTTAATAACAATAATCATGCCTGAATCATAAAATCCAGGGTCAAATCTGAGTCTGAATATACCTGTTAATTTCACATTATTAATTATAGTAGCCCTGTGATGTTGTTTCGTGAGTGTTACAACAATCAGATATTGTGAAAGAGTCTATAACATTATTATGTAGAAAATATTTAGAGCTACTACATTTAGACTTAGCATGTGAATCTCAACAATTGTGACAAACAAAAAGCTTTTGTGATATACGGTTACGTATGTAACCCTCGTTCCCTGAGTAGGGAACGGAGACGTTCCATCTTCCTGCCACCTTCCGCTGTACCGCTGGAACAGCTGAATTCAGTCTTGGCTCCTCAGCGAAGAAACATATCTGCATATTACCGGTGTCCTCCTTTTATATCCACGAGGTAAGCGGAGATGTTGATGTCTTAGTGAACAATATAGTTACGTTTGAAGTCACCGTTATTGTGATTAGTGTTTTAGAGAACCAGATATCAATTATGGCATCGGAGGGAGGGTCAGATATCTCTGCGTGTCGTGTCGGAGCCGCTACCTTCTTCGGGTGTGCCGTAGCGCTGCCCGATACGGACCTGGAGATGATGGTCATGCTTTACCGTGCCGCCAACAGGGTCGGGCTCATGTTGAACCCTCCATCGTGTCCCGAACCCTCGAGGTTGGATGATTGGTATCTCGGGGTGGCGCATGCTGGTGCTCAGCAACCCACCCCAGTTCCCTTCTTTTCGGAAGTGCATGAGGAGCTCACAGGGACGTAGACGGCACTTTTTACTGCCAGAAACTGTTCCGGTGGTATCTCACTGATACACGCGTATCCTGCCGGTGGAACGGGCCGTTGCTATGCAGCTGTGCCCTAATTCCACCTGACGTGGAGAACTGTGTCTCGCTTCCCGGGCCTGTAAGTACTCGTCGGACTTAACCGGCTTACAAGGCCTGTGGGGAGGCTGCCTCTGCTGTGCACGCCTTGGCGTTGCTGCAGGTCCATCAGGCCAAGGCACTGAAGGAACTGCATGATGGTGGTCATAACCCACTAGTTCTTCAGGAACTTCGGCATGCGATGGACCTTGCGATTCGTGCTACGAAGGTTACCGCGCTCTCAGTGGGCTGTGCGATGTCCACACTGGTGGTCCAGGAACGCCATCTCTGGCTGACATGGGGGAGACGATAAGCTCCGGTTCCTCAACGCCCCCGTGTCCCAGACCAGCCTCTTCAGCGACGCTGTCGAAACTTTGCCGAGTAGTTCTCGGCTGTAACAAAGTAAACTCCTCAGTCGGCCTCCCAGAGAGAGCCTCACCAGCCAGGTCCCTGTGTTGCACCTCGCTGCCCAACTCAGTGTATGCTACGGTCCCGTTGGTCCCACTTGTACGGTCTTTGGGAGCCTGGTTAGCGCTCCCCAGTCCACCTCGCTGGCTCATCCTTACCATCAGGCTCAGCTATGCAATTCAGTTTGCCCCGTGTCCCACTAAGTTTCGGGTCATCCACTCCACTACAGTGAGAGCAGCCGATGCCCATGTCTTGCACGAGGAGATCGCAGTCCTACTGGTGAAGGACTCGATAGAGCCGGTCCCTCCAGCCAATATGAGGTCAGGGAATTACAGTCCCTACTTCATTGTACCCAAGAAAGATGGTGGGATACGACCAATCTCGGACCTGCGAGTTTTAAAATAGAGCCTCCCCAAGCTACCGTTCAAAAAACGCATTTTCGAATGCAATGCTTTGCAAATATACATTTCCCCTCGTGAGCCTACTTGCACAGACACTGTACAAAGTCAGGGAGGACAAGGAGCAAGTCCTTCTGGTGGCTCCCTACTGGCCCACTCGGACCTGGTTCCCAGAACTCATGCTCCTTGTGACAGTCCCTCCCTGGCCCATTCCTCTGAGGAAGGATCTTCTGACTCAGAGACGGGGCACCCTGTGGCACCCACGTCCAGACCTCTGGAAACTCCATGTCTGGTCCCTGGACAGGATGCAGAGTTTCTTGGTGACTTACCCCCAGAGGTACTTAATACCATGACTTCAGCATGGGCGCCGTCCATGAGACGTGTCTATGCCCTGAAGTGGAACCTGTTCATCGAGTGGTGTTCTTCTCGCCAGGAGGACCCCCGAAGATGTTCGATAGGGTCTGTGCTTTCCTTCTTGCAGCAAGGGTTGGAGCGAAGACTGTCTCCCTCCACCTCAAAGTTCATGCTGCCGCTATTTCAGCTTATCACAACCCCATAGATGGTAAAACAGTTGGAAAGCACGACCTGGTCGTCAGGTTTCTTAGGGGGGCGAGATGATTAAATCCTCCTTGAACCCCCTCCATACCCTCTTGGGATCTTTCCAGCTTTCTCAGGCTTGGCTCCTCAGCAAAAAACTAGTGTCCAATCGCAACAGCTGCTCATTAAATTCCCGCGCTACGAGGCTGCACAGCTGATGCAAATGATTGCACGCCAATGTGTATTGCCTTGTTTTAGTTTCACTCAATGTAAATTGGCCTCCCAAAGATTCCCATTGGTCAGTCATGACCTACGTCTCCTGAGGGAGGGAACAAGGGTTACCATATGTAACCAATACGTTACATACGTAACCAAGATATTTTTACATTGAAATTTCTCAAAGAACATGATTTTTTGAGCCGATAACTAAGCAAATCTTTGACATGGTCTTACTCAGTCAATATTAAAAAAATCAAGGTTATATTTTCACAGAAGGCTCTTTACATTATGTAAAGAAAAACTGTTATTTTACAGACTTCTCCTGAAATATTATGATCAAACACCTTCACTGTAAAATGTAAATCTAATGTTTTTGTCCATTAGCTTTCAATAACACGTGCGTGAACTAACGTAGCTCTTCTAGAACATTATTCTCTTCTAGTTTTTCCTCTTTCCGTCAGAAATTTTGTATGTGCTTGTAACTTCTATACATGTTTAGGTGAAGGCTTCCCTTCCAGCATCTCTGTGGATTAGTCACTGTTTATGATGTAACTAATCATGCCAGTTCTCTGTTATGATTGGTCAACTGATAAGACCGGAGAGGCCTGCCATTTGTATCTGAGGGTTATATAGTTCAATTTGTTTGAGGTCAAGGGAAGTCTTTTAACAGTATACTGTATGTGTGCCTGTTAGATTTACTGTATTGTGCTGCTCTTCCCCTTTCTGTGAGTATGACATAGCTACTGATCCTGAAATCTTGCATATTATACACAAAATGTTAGTCCAATTAGGCAATTGAAATTTTAAGATCCATGTTAAAATATAAGTGGTTGCTTGAAATATTTTATATACTTATATCTTTGGTCTTTTTAGCAGAGTCTTACAAAAATAATGT